CGCCCGGTCTTTCGGAGGTTCGGTCTTCAGTTCTCCTCCGCACAGCCCACACCTCTGCCAGTAGACCACAGGCTCTCAGCACCAGTTCCTGAGGAGTCAACAGAGCCCAGTGGTCCTTACGCAGAGCTGGTGGGTTGCCTCATATATCTGATGAATTGCACTCGTCCAGATCTCTCATACCCTTTCAGCATCCTGGCTCGCTTTGTGGCCACCGGCAGACACCGACCGCAGCACTGGTCGGCCGCTAAGAGGGTTTTGCGTTATCTAGCAAGTACATTGGTTATGGGGCTAGTGCTAGGAGGACGCAGACCAGTGGTCCTTACTGCGCACACAGACACTTCTTGGGCAGACGATGCTGAGATACTCAGGTCCTCCCAGGGCTACTGCTTTAGCCTTGGTTCAGGTGCCGTCTCGTGGAGAGCTACCCGCTCCTCGTCTGTTGCCCAGTCCAGCTATGAGGCCGAGATCTACGCTGGTGCCATGGCGGCACAGGAGCTCCGCTGGCTGACCTTCTTGCTCACCGACTTAGGTGAGCGGCCTAGATATGCCCCAGTCCTGTACGCTGACAATAGGGCCATAGTCCTCCTGTGTAAGGAGCCTCGACTTGAGGGTAGAGCGAAGCACATCCAGCTGTGGTACTTCCTCCTGCGCGAGCTGCAGCAGCGCCGCCAGGCCCACGTAGTACACTTGGCCTCAGGTGCCAACACGGCTGATATCTTTATGAAGGCACTTGCGCCTAAAGACGATCAGCGGCACTGTGTATAGCTTGGTCTAGTTCCTGTTGCTTCTTAGTAGCTAGGACCCTGATTGTGTACTCCTTTTATATTCTCTTGACTGGCCTTGTGGCTGGACTAGTAGCACTGCCCTGGGTTGCTCTTGTTTAGCTTGGACTCTTGCTGACTGGTCTTCGGACCCTGGCCTCAGAGGCTCGACTAGTAGTGCCACCCTGAGTTGTGTGTCGATTTCTAGGCACTACCCCTCATCTGACCTAGGGGGTGTGTCAAACTTATTTGTATATGTTATAATAGGCTAGATACAGTGACGGAAACAATTGTCCGTATGTTTTGCATTAATTTGGGTTTCTAGGCTTTAAGACAATTATACATTAAGCCTTAATGCTTAATGGTGGTATGATTTGGGAGGGGCACATAGTGGATGTGTTCATGGCACAAAAATCAAGAATAGTACATTGGATCTAACCCATATCCCAAAAGAGATACAAAGGGTACATCCGGACAAATATTTTCAAGCAGAGAGACCAAACTTCATAACTGCGTTTCTGGTACCTAGCCCACTGACCTTTGGCCTTGATCACCGCCCGCACCCTCCTAGGAGTGGTGTCGATGAGGCTAGAGCAAACCTCGGCATGGATCTTCTCCCATTCTTCCTGTATCAGGTCCCAAAGCTCCCACATTCCAGATAAAGGCCTTTTATGCTTGGCTAGATTGACATGCCTTTTACCCTCACGCATGTCATACATCCCCACACCTTCACCAATCATTGTCCCCATGGTTTACCGTACGTTTGATTTGGTGGTACTGCAGGGTTGTGCCTTCACGAATGTAGGCAAACGCACGGCCATTGGAGCTGAAGTAGTTGATGCTGGTCCCATTTGACCAGATCACATGCTTTCGAACATTAATTGTCCACTCAGCATGCGACTCCACGAATTGCAGCCGTCCCTTGATGTTTTTCCAGAACAGTCATGGCTTCTACGAATTCTGCACCGTAACTAGACCTGCGGACCTTAGTGTGATTTTAATGGTGCCAGGGTGCACAGTCAACCGTGCAACATTACCCTCAGTTTTGCTATGTCTATGCTAGTTTTGACCGCTCCATTCGTAATTTTACCGTACAACGGTACGACGAAGACGACCCGTGATATGATGGGGCCGACTGGCTAATTGCATGTTTGGCCACACCTCAGCATGGCTAGTCTCAGAGATACCATTCAATAAAAAATCGTCCACAATACTCTTGCCTACGCCAAACTTTTTCACGATTTTCCTAGTGCTCAACCCCTTATGCAAAATGGGTCCAGGAAGAGTGCAAGGAGTTCCCTGCCGAGGTTTGCTCTAACCTCGTAGGTAACATGCCTAGGAGGGTGCGGGTGGTGATCAAGTTCAAAGGTCGGTGGGCTATGTACTAGAAACGTACAAAAGAGGGACGTGAGGCCATTTGTCCTCACCCACGTTCTTCATTTCTAGTTTCTCTAGTTCAATTTCCTCAGTTTCTCGTCCAACATGGCGAAGACCCAGTCCCTCCCGTGAGGCAAGGCTCCGACGATGCTCCTCACCAACATTTTGCAGCACAACCTCGCTAATATGGTGTCGGTGAACATGACTCCGAATCGTCCAACGAACAACCCCAACAATTCCGCGGAGCCCGGAACTTCAGCAGGGGCAACTGCCCGACGCCAGAAACGTCATGCTGAGGAAAATTTTGGCAAGGGGCCCTCGGCTGACGAGGTTCTGCTCGGTGCCAATCGCGCTGCTCCAGAAGAAACTCGCGCAGTTGCTGCCAACGGAGGACCATGCGCCCGCGCACGTCGCGACGGCTGTAGGCCAGGTGAGCCCTACCGAGCACACGTCCGTTGACGAGGTCGTGCCAGCCGCCGCCGCCCCCGCGCTGACCGCGCAACAGCTCCAAGCGCTTCTGGCGCTGTTACACCAGCAGTCGAATGTTACGCTCGGAACATCTTCGGACAATATAAGTGCTATGACCAATTTCGCCAAGAAGAAAGAAATGCCACCACCTACTCGCGCGCCAAAGGCTCCGTGCGTTGACAACCAGCCCCCAGCACCGACTCCCGCACTCGCCAACGACAACGACGACTCTGAAAACGATGATGGTGAGGCTCCTGGCAATATTGCTCGCCATCGCATTCTCGCCCCTGCCCCCCCTCTTCCCCCCCTTGGTCCCACGCCCACAGCAACCACTCGACGGGAACTCGAAGTAGTCTTATGGGCTCTCCAAACTTTCGCCACTCGCATACCCAAGCGCCACATGCTCGTTCGGGTAGACAACCAAGGGGTAGTATCCATCATGCGCAAAGGTGGATCACGCCACCCCACGCTCTCACTACTATATTAAGCAATCATTTGCCTTTGCCTATAATATCCGACAAGGCTAGCTGTCGAATGGATCCCGCGAGAGTTGAATGCGAACGGTGACGAACTTTAAAAATTCCAAGACCATGATGACTACTCCCTCCAAGCCCCGTGGTTCTGGCTCCTGGATCACCGCCTGGGTCCCTACTCTATTGATCTCTTCACAAATGTGCACAATGCTCAGCTGAAGAGGTTTTGCTCAAAGATTCCACACCCTACGACCGCAGTTTTCGACGCATTTTCGTTCAGCTGGCAGCACGAGCGCGGCTTATCGTTTCCTCCTCCCAACCTCATTCCAGCCACATTATGACACGCTAAACGCACACACGCTGAGCTGACCTTGGTTTTTCCCGAGTGGCCGGGAGCATCATGGTGGCCACTCCTCCAACAGGCACCTAACACCTGGGTGCCAAAAGTAACGACACACATTCCCCTCACCCACGGCAGCCAATGTCTCTGCCCTGGCACACACACACTCGCTTTTGCAGGACAAGGCTTTCCTCCTAGTCAGATGATTGCACTGCATGTCACGTATAAAAATTAATAATATGTGTACTCTACGCTGTACCTTTTCAGACATTATATCAAAACTGCAAACGCAACTACTACACGAAATCACCCATGTCCGTGCCCCTTTCACCATCCGAACATATGAGCCGTACCGGCTCAAATTTCGCTCCTTCTGCATGAAGCTGAGTTGAGCTACCTGCATGCAATGGATATGACCTTGGCACTCTACCTCATTCATGCACTAAATGACCAGGCCACCATATCCGCCATATCGCTTTCATGCTCAGCCGTCACCTTCGCGCATCGCATGAGTGGCAAGCCCTCTCCCACGACTGACCATTTACACTGCAAGTGCGCGAATTTGCCAATCGCCATGGCCCGCGCCCCACTCGGAACAAGGAACCTTTGTCGCTCCACCAAGTGCACACCATGGCCCGCCCCTTCCTGGAGTCCACCCAGCCGACCGAGTACCAAAAAGCATTCATCCCCATCCTTATGTTCGCCGCCTTCCTATGTTACTCCGACCTTGTCAGCCTTTAATGGCATGACATACAGTTTGAGTCTGAGGCGATGTGGCTACTCATCCCGCACTCCAAGACCGACCAGGAAAGTAGGGTCACGTGGATCCCGGTCGCCGCCACTTCCGGCCCATACTGCCCGGTACGCTGCACACGACACTTCTCCTCGCGGGTCACACCTCCACCCCACACGAGCCATTGATCCGAGTCTTCGGGAACAGCAGCACGACAACTCCACAGGACCACGCGCCTACATACACCACCATCCGGAACTGGTGCCTTGAAGCATTCACCAGGGCCGGCCTCGGTAGCGCCCACCTCGGAACCCACTCCTTAAGGGCGTTGCTACAGCGGCAGCCAGCCTGGGGATATCCGACCGCCTGTTCAAGCGACTTGGCCGTTGGCGCAGCAATAATGTCAAGGAGATCTACGTTACCACCGCGCAGGACCAACTTCTTCAAGCCTCCATGCAACTCCAAGGCGCAGCCACCGCCCCCACGCCCAATCAGCACCAGCTACCTATTGAGCGCCACCGCCAACCCCTTCTGCACATGTCTCAGGAGACCCAGATGAAGTGAAGCACGCAGCCTTTACAAGAGGACCTAAGCAAGCTTTCACTTCACAATATGTTTTTTTTTTAACTGTAACACTTTCTAAAAATGTGTATTGTGTAAGTGTAACGAGGGCCAACACGGCAAAGGCAGCGTCGAAGCGCTACTCACCCTCTTTTGCCTACAAAAGAGGGACGTGAGGCCATTCGGCCTACCCACGTTCTTCATTTCTAGTTTCTCTAGTTCAATTTCCCCGCCCGCCCACCCTCCCTCTTGTGTGTAGTTTTTCACTGGACGAGAACCATGTATGTTTCCCAAATTAAATGAAGCACGCTGCCTTTACAAGGGGACCTAAGCAAGCTTTCAGAATACAATGCTAGTACCAGCTGAGATGAGGACTCTTATTGCTGGCTTCCCTTCTACAGCAATGCGGTCAACAGCAAAATGCATGAGGCCACTGCATGTACAAGAGAGCCATAAAATGCATTCAGTGCTGCTTCACAGACGCAGCAACAGTGGCATTGTCTGCCTGGGTTTCAAGAGGTGTGTCCAGCTCTTGAGAGTCTGACGCAGCAGCCTAGGCAGATACCATCATACGGTATCTTATGATGTACAGGAAGAGGAGGGCGGTCAGACGCATTCAGTGCTGCGTTACACAGACGCAGCAACAGTGGCACTGCCTGCGGTCTGAGAGGCGTCCAGCTCTGCAGAGGCAGTCGCAGCTGAAGCCGATAATGCATTTGCTGCTGCAGCGGCTTCTGCTGCGAACCGTGTGCTTCCCTTGGCCGGCGTTGAATCCCCAATCCCAGCAGCAGCGCCACCAGCACCATCACCAGCAGCAACATCATCAGCAGCATTAGCAGCACCAGCAGCAGCATCAGCACCATCACCAGCAACACTAGCACCAGCAGCATCAGCAGCAGCACCATCACCATCAGCAGCATTGCTAGCAGCACCAGCGGCACCACTACCAGAAGCCGCACCATCAACTGAAGCAGTCTCAGGGGCAGCGACGGCAGTGGCTGCCCCCGCAGCAGCAGCAGAAGCAGCAGCAGGAGTGGCAGCAGCAGCAGCAGCAGCGGCAGGCAGGGAGAAGGGGAAGCTAGCGGCCTTAGGGTTGGGGGACGCCCACTTGTTGACAACAGGAGAGGCCCACTTGTTGGCAACGGGCGAGGGCCACTTGTTGGCAACAGGCGAGGCCCACTTGTTGGCAACAGGAGAGGGCCACTTGTTGGCAACAGGCGAGGGCCACTTGTTGACCCACTGGCCAAAGAGCTCAGACGAATCTACTCTCGACGCATGCAACCCTGCTGCCGCACTTGCAGTCGCATGAGCAGGCAAAGGCCCCAATGCTCCTCCTGCTGCTGCTGCCACCGCCGCCGCTGCTGCTGCTGCTGCTGCTGCCGCTGCCGCGCTTGCACCAGCAGCACCCACACCATCACTCCCAGCGCTACCAGTGGTACCCCCGGAGCTGCCACTGCCAAAAACCGGCGGGGTGGTGGTGGAGATGGAAGGGAGAGGCGAGCCGTTGAGGGGGGAGTCCGCCAGATGCAGCAGCTCGGCTGAGCTGAGGCGGGCGAACCTGGCAGCCGCAGCCGAGAGGGCGGACGGCGTGAGCGACTCCCCAAAAAGGTCCGTGGAATTTTGACGGCCAAACAGATCTGTGGAATTCTGTCGGCTGAAGGCATCTGCAGGGGTGTGCAGGAGAGAGGAGAGGGCGGGGCTGCCCATGGAGAAGGGCAGGCCTGGGCTGCTCATAGGGAAGGCGAGAGGGCCGGAGGGCACTCGGAAAGGGCCGGCAGGTACGGCGCGAGAGGGGCTGCCTGTAGAGAAGGGGAGAGAGGGGGATCCCGTGGGGAAGGGGAGGGGGCCGGAGGGCACTCGAAAGGGGAACGCGGGGGGAGGAGGCACGGAGGGGGAGGAGGTGGAGCCGGGCGGTGGCTCTGCTGCTGCTTCTGCTGCTGCTGGTTGTAGAGGGGATTTGGGAAAGCGTGGCTCTGGTGTCCCTGCTGTTACTCGAGGGTCCTGTGCTGCCTGTGTGTCTCCTGCCTCCTGTCCCTCTTTAACCTCTGCTACTGCAGTAGCCACTGCTGGTGCTCCAGATGGCCCTGCTCCAGATGGGCCTGCTCCAGATGGGCCTGCTCCAGATGGCCCTGTTTCTATCGGCCCTGGTTCTGCTGCAGTGTGGCTGCTGGCGTGCACCCAGTGGTCCACCAGCGATGACTGCTTCGGGAAAAAGTAACAAGCGCCGGAAGCAGCCGCAGCATCATCATCCCTACCCTCACCACCACCACCATCACCAGCAGCATCACCACCAGCATCAGTAACATCAGCAGCACCAGCAGCCATAGCAGCAGCATTCGCAACAGTAGCAGTAGCAGTAGCAGCAGCAGCAGCAGTAGCAGTAGCAGCAGCAGCAGCAGTAGCAGCAGCGGCATCAGCAGCAGAAGCCCGAACCGAAGGAGCCTGCTTGTGAGCCGACCTTTCAGCATCAGCTTGGGCAGCTGTTGCCTGCGCTGCGGACTCAGTAGCAGCATTTGCCTTAGCTGCATTCGCCTGCGCAGCATTTGCCTTAGCTGCATTCGCCTGTGCAGCAAGCATCTGAGCGACAGCAGCGGCAGCGACGGCAGCCTTCTCTGCCTGCGCTATGACGAGCAGCGGGTCGTCTGCTGCGTCTGATGCGGGGGGCAGCACCGACGCCGTTGCTCGCTTCAACTCCCAGCGGCCACCTGCGGTGGGAGGAAGGGAGATGAGGGAATGTGAGGGGATGCGAGGGGATGCGGGGGAATGTGAGGGGATGCGAGGGGATGTGAGGGAATGTGAGGGTGAAGGGATGCGAGGGATGCGAGGGGATGCGAGGGCATGTGAGGGCATGTGAGGGCATGTGAGGGGATGCGAGGGGATGTGAGGGGATGCGAGGGAATGTGAGGGGATGTGAGGGAATGTGAGAGGGAAAGAAAGGAGGAGAGGGTGAGGGATAAAGATTGAGCAAGCCTTAGGAGCGAGAGAAGGGAGGAGAGAGGCGGAGGCAGAGAAAGACGCACGGGTGTAAGGCGAGAGCATGTTGAGGGTGTTAGGCGACGGATGAGGCCCCAAAGGCGACGGATGAAGCCCCAAAGACAACGGATTTGCAGCAGCAGCACCAGAAGCCGCAGCCGCAGCAGCAGCAGTAGGAGCAGAAGCCGCCCCAGTAACACCAGCAGCAGAAGAGGCACCAGCAGCAACACTGGCACGAGCACCATCAGCACCACCATCAACAGCAGCAGCAACAGCAGCAGCAGCAGCAGGAAACGGGGGCATGGTGGTGGGCGGAGGCAAGGGAGGGGATGGGAGGCTGGAGGCCGGCGGTGAGTGGAAGAGGGGAGGGCGGGGGGGTTTGGGCTTGCAGGCCGATGCAGAGAGAGAGAGCTCTGTCCCCGCTCCTTGGCGCCCCTCGGGAGTGCTGGGGGGAGAAATGAGTCGAGTATAAAGAGACAAGAAGAGAAACTGATTGACAAGTGCTTTTGAGAACTCTCAAAAGCACCCTGCAAAGCAAAATCAAGACGAGAATCTGCTTGACCAGGAGACCAAGAGGAGTGATGAATGCGCCGAGCCAGCAGAAGTGGATAAGATGAGGGAGAGAGAGAGAGGGAAGAGAAACAGAAAGAGAGAGGAGAGGAGAAGGGCAAGTGGAAGAGTGAGATGAGGGAGGAAGGGAAGGGAGAGGGAAAAACACGCAGGTACCTCATCTCAACGTGAGACCAAGCAGCGGGGGAGGAATAGGCACCACTCGCATTCCCGCTTCTCACTGCTGCTGCTGCTGCTGACATGGCGGCAGGTGAGCGCATGGGAGGGGATTTGAATGAGCCCCATTTCACTGCTGCTACCATCACGCTGCTACCGCCCCCATTGCCATTGCTGCCACTGTCCCCAGCTATGGCTGCGTCTGCAGCAACAGCCGCAGGAGCAGCAGCAGCCACAGCCTGTGGAGGACTACCCTTGGGCTCACCCACATCACCACCACCAGCAGCAGCAGTGGTAGCCCCACCCAAGGCACCAGGGCTGGCCATCGCCACGCCAGGGGAGTAGCCAAACAGGTCCGAGGAGTCAAGCCGGGCGAACCGAAGCAGAGGGTTGTCGGAGAAGCTGCGAGACAGGCCCGGGGTTCCCGGGCCTGGAGTCCCCGAGCCTGGAGCCGCCGGACCTGAGAGATAAACGCTGAGGCCTGGAGACTGCCCCATGCTGTACGTCCCCCAACCGCCCCTCCCTATGCCTGCACGGGGGGTGGCCCCAGACGCAGCAGCAGCTGCAGCAGCAGCTGCAGCAGAGGCAGCAGCATCAGTGGTGGGCCAGCTGGGGGAACCCGCTACCCCAGTAGCATGTGCCCCAGTCGAGCCTGCCCCAGTCGAGCCTGCCCCAGCCACACCTGCTTCTGATGGTGTCTTGCTGTCGCTGGGAGGAAGGCTGGATGGAGTGGCCCAGGAGGGAAGGGCGGGAGGAGAGGGAGACGCAGCAGCGGCTACTGCAGGTGCAGGAGCAGCAGGGGGAGGTAAAGGTGCAGCACAGACAGGGGTCGCTTCAGCTGCAGTACAAGTGGCTGCTGATGCACCTCCGCCTCCTCCTGCCCCTGCCGGCCCTCCTGCCCCGGCCTGCATCTCTGCAATGCTCTGCGTGTTTGCAGCGCTCTGCATGTCAGGTGTCGATGCACAGCCAGCACCGGATCCATCACTGGTAACCACAGCCATGCCTGTGCCTGGTCCTGTGCCTGTGCCTGTGCCTGTCTGTACCTGTGCCTGTGCCTGGTCCTGTGCCTGTGCCTGTGCCTGTAATGGCAGCCACTACTGCATCTCTGCCTGCTGCTGCGTCTGTAGCGCTGGCATGGGTCGAGGGGGCATGCAACCCAAGGCTCAACACTGATGCCAGCGCTGGATCAGTGTCGCGGGGGCTCAACTCTGATCCCTCGCCTGTAGCCCCGCCCTGCAGACTAGGGTTGCTGTAAACAGTAAGGTTGCTATAAATATTAGGGCTGGTGTGAAAAGTAGGGTTATTGTGATAACTGGAAACCGCAGTAGGCAGCAAGGCGGGCTCACCGAAACCAGCCGAGACGGGCGATACAAAGGGCAGAACGGATCCTGCTGTGCCCGTGTTGTCTCTGTTGCCCATGCTACCTGCACTGCCAGTGGCAGCAACGGCTGGGGGCGTGGGTGCAAAGAAAGCCATGCCAGAGCCAGCAGGGGGCAGCGATATGGCAAAAAGGGCATGCGCTGCTGCAGGGTCTGCGGCGGGAGCAGGTGCAGCGGGAGCAGGAACGGTGGGAGCAGGGGCGGCAGCAGCAGCGGCGGTGGCGGGAGCAAGGGGAGCAAAGGGAGCAGGAGGAAGGGGAGGAGCGGAGGAGAGGGCAGCGAGGTCGCCAAAAAGCTCGGCGGAATTCATTCTAGAGAACTCCAGGAAAACGTCCCCGGACACACGAACCCCACTTGGCAGAATCTGAATCACCGGCGGCTTTCTCCCCCCTTCCCCACTGGCCCCACTGCCTCCTCTCGTTCCCTCTCCCCCTCCGCCCTCTCCCCCTCCAATCCTCCCTCCCCCTTCGCTACCTCCCCCCTTATCCGCCTCCCCTGCCGCTGTCCCCCCCACCTGCCCTCCGGCTGCCCCTCTGATGGTCACCAAGCCCCCTCCCCCGGGTCCGCCCTCCCCCAGTTTCACCTCCACCTCGCCATTGACTCCGTACTGCTTGCCCCACGCTGCAATCGCTGCAGCCAGCGCCTTTAGAGGGATGGACGGTACGGCGCTGCTGTTGTCGTCGTTTGTGGTGGTGTTGGTGGTGTTGTCTTTGTTGGTGGCGGTGTTGGTGGTGGTGGTGTTGGTGTTGGCGGTGGTGGTGGTGGTGTTGGTGTTGGCGATGGTGGTGGTGGTGTTGGTGTTGGCGGTGTTGGTGGTGGTGTTGCCAGTAACGGCAGATGTCCCTGCGCCAGTTCCGCCCGTCCCTGCCACCCTGTCTGCTTGCACTAACTGCTGCAGCAGCAGCTGTGCTTGACTCTGCTGCTGATCTTGCTGGTGCTGCTGTGCCTGTTGCTGTGCCTGTTGCTGTTGCTGTGCCTCCTGCTGCTGCTGCTGCTGCCGTTTCTGCTCTTCTTGTTGTGCCTGCTGCTCCTGCTGTTGTGTCTGTTGCAGCTGCTGCTGTGCCTGCTGTTGCTGCTGTGGCTGCCCCTGCTGCTGCCCCTGCTGCTGCTCCTGCAGCTGAGCGTGAAGCGCCGCCTGTGGCATCTGGGCAGCACCGAGCAGCGCCCGCAGTAGCAGCAGCTCGACGTCATTCAGAGCCTTCTGATTCCCAACAACTGCCACAGCACCCCCAGAAGTTGGGCCCGCCCCAGCACTTAAAGCCGCCGCAATGCTAAGAGCAGTCCCAGCACTAGCAGCAGCCGGGGAAGCTGGGGTGCCACTAGCAGGAGCACCAGCAGCACTAGCAGCGCCCCTGCTCAGCACCGCACTGGAAAGAGCAATACCAGCAGCGCCACCCGCATCAGATACACCTGCACTGGTTGCACCCCCCCTGCAGCCTGCTTCCAGCCGCTGCATTTCCTGCTGCACCTGCCGCTGCTGCTGCGCCGTCAGCCCTCCAGAGACCACCCCTTGCGCCCATGGGGGGGGCGAGGGGGGCGCAGGGGCGCGCAAGGGGGAGGAAACCGACCCAGACGGGGGGAACATGGGGAAGAGGGGGGTGGCTGCTATATGCTGCTGCTGCTGCTGCTCTTGATACTGGCCAAGCCCACCGCCTGCCTCACCGGCACCTGCACCAGCTGAACCTACACCAGTTGAACCTGCACCACCTGCACTCTCTGCAGCAGCTGCAGCCGCTGCGACAGCGAACTCAACAGCTTCGGCTGACACTGCACTGGGTTGCTGGGCCAGCGGGTGCTGGGACAGCGGTTGTTGGACGGAGGAAGCGCGCGGGAGGGGGACGGGGAAGCCGCCAGGGGCGGAGTCACGCGCGCGGCTGGCGGCGGACGAGGCGTGTGGGAAGAGGGGGAGCACGGAGGGTCGGGGGAAATTGCTGGGCGAGGGGAGGGTCACGTTGGGGAAAGGGGGCGAAGGGTTGGCGGCGGCAGCTGCCACAGCTTGTGCGACAGAGGGGACGCGCATGGAAGGAGGGGGTGAGGGGGTCAGAGCGTTTCTGGGAGGGTTGGTCTGGCCTATAGCCGCAGAACTGGGACCGCTAGTGGAGATCGTGGCAGCAGCAGCGGCGTTAGAGGCAGCTGCGTTAGAAGCAGTTGCGTTAGAGGCAGCGGCAGCGGCAAGGGCGAGAGAGATGGCGACGGCAGCGTCAGCGGGAGGAGGGGTGGAGCCTTGGCCTACAGCCGCGGCGGAGAAAAACCGCGCTGCTGCGGCTGCCAGCGCGTTGCTAGGACTGAACGCGGCAGTCAACGCCCCCTGCTGCTGCGACTGCTGCTGCGACTGCTGGGACTGCCCCTGCGACTGCCCCTGCGACTGCTGCTGCAGCAACTGCTGCAGCTGCCCTTTCCGTAGCTGCAGCTGCTGCTGCTCCTGCTGCAGCGCCTGGTACTGCTGCTGCAGCTGCTGCTGCTGGTGCTGCGATTCAAAGCTCGAGAGCAGCGCGGCAACGGGCCCGTTCAGAATAGCCGACGCCACATTATTCGCAGAATCCGGGGGCGGGAAAGTACTCGGAGAGGAGAGGATACTAGCAGAGCCTCTGCGCGGGGGGGGCTGTATCAGGGGAAGGGCGACCGCCGACCCCACGGATCCGGACGCGGAAACGGCAGCGGCAACCGCGGAGGGGGGCAGGGGAGGCGCGGGGGAGGTCTTAAGCAGCGAGCCGACTTTCCTGGGGGGAGGCAGGGACCGGAGAACCTCGTCTAGGGTTTTCCGCGAGGTCGTAGCGTCGGCTACGAAGCAAGGAATCGGCGGCAGGCTACTATTTCCCGAACCATGGGGGCCTTTAAGCGCGCCGCCGGGTTTTCCCGCCTTGGGAGGTGAGTTCGGCGGGTTGAAGTTGGTTCGGGTGGCTGCTCCCCGGATCTGCCGCGCAGCCTCGTCATAGGCTCGGGCGGCTTCTTCCGCCGTGTCGAACGTGCCGAGCCACTTGCGGATCTTGTGGTTCGTGTCTTTGATCTCCGCGATCCAACGGCCAGAAGCTCTCTGGCGGACTCCTAGGTACCCGCGGCTCTTCGCCTTATCCTTGAGCTGAGGCGTCAAGGCGTTCTTTTCAGGTGCCTTTCCAGGTGCCTTTTCAGGTGCTTGCTCAGGCGCGCTGTCAGCGTCGTTTCCAGGTGCCTCGTCAGGTGCCTCGTCAGGTTCTTCCTCCGACGAACTATCTGCGTCGTTCTCCCTATTTTGCGGTGTCTTCGACCGCCGCTTAACCTGGGAATTCGCCGACGTGTTGTTCGCCGATGTTGTGTTACCCGATGTGGCCGACGACGCTGCAGCGTCGCGAAGCGGGACGTCAGAAACACCATTCTCGCATTTCCTGCGCTTGGCGGGGTTCGAGCTTTCCCGCTCGCTCTCGAGATCCGCCGAGGCGCCCATGCAGCCACCGCCGTTGACCACCTCGCACTTCTAGCCGCTGGTGGACGACGAAACCCTAAAAACGCGTCGACCTCAGGCACTAAAACCAGGCCTAGACGGCTGAAACCATGGCTATCCTTGCGAATGTCATAGCAACTTATCTCAAGAAAGGAGGACAAGCACATTCGACAGGGCGGCCAGCAGTCTGCTAACGTGTGATGGCGGGGCGACCTGGAAAGAAAGAGATGAAACAAGTTGCAGCCATGGCAGCAGCCAGAGACAAACAACGCAAGAAACCTTGAAACGACACAAACAACAAACAGAACGAGCCTTGGGCTTGGCTTGCATTGTAGATTTTCGACCGGGCGGTCCAAAATCAAGATTCGTTTGAACAGAAACGGGGTTGCGAGGTGAGGGGAAACCCGTGGCCAGCAGGCGACGACGTCATTGTGGCTGGTGATTGGTGGCGAATCGCCTAACGACATTCGTACAAGCTGGACACCAAAAAGCGGCAGGTTCGGGTCGGGGGGTGAGCCGAGTTGTGATTCTAGAAGCACCATTCACGAAAAGCAACTCTTCAATCTACATATCGTATTCGACTAGAGCAATGACGACTAGCGCAAGTCCACAGGGGCAATTATTCCCTAACCGCAAACTCCACATGCGCAAGAAAACATGGAACCAGCCTATTAGCGACGGTGCACGCATGCCTACAGTTAATGCATGACATCTACAGATCATATGCCCTGAGAGCCCGGGGGGCGACGCGAGAGATTTCACTTTTAACGAATACGGGCCGTACGGTAGGGGCAACGTGGTCTGTGGGGTTTTCCCAGGAAATGGGGCGGTGTTTTTTGTGTACTGTGCATGGGCGGCTTGACTGGCGTATGCAGCGATTGAGTAAACGTCGCAGCGTCGCAAGTCTCTCCATCTGTGTAACAACTTCGCGTTTCAAGCAGGTCCCTCGATAACCTAGGGGTCACCCTGCATATTCCGAGTTTGCCCGGGGTCCAACTCTTCCAGGCTGGGTAGCTCTAAAACTTTTGACTGTTTTTGCAGGCATGAGTTTCGCCCTGCTCGGAATGTGCCACTCCTGACAATGACAGGGGAGCCATTTTTTCTAGGGGTGCAAACTTCTACTTTAAATTTTTCAGGGTGAGTCCATCCCCTACTCAAAAATCGGGCGTCGAATTTTCACCATGTTTTCCTGGACAAAACAGTGTAATTACCGTGACTTCCAGAGGACTGGTTTAAAAAAAAATGTCAGATTCCTTGACGCGCTCGAGGGCGCGTTCCTATTGGCTGTAGATAGACGGATTTTCCATGGGTGACGCCGACGGATTGCGTTGGCTTTGCATTCGTAATTTTACTGGACCGTCAGCGAGCTGTTGGATTTCTTTTTCGACATTGGTTGGCGAGCCTGACACATCTGGATTCTTAGAGGGTCGCCGACCACTGGGCGTAGTCGCTCTAAAAGCACAGGAGAAAAATGATTGGACGGTCTTGGATCATCCGACTTGACTGTCATATTTACTGTTCAGTTGAGACGGGTACACTTTACTTACAAGGAGAGGCCCTGAAGGATAAAATGCCTACGAGATACTCCTGGGCGTAGAAGGAGGTTGTCTACAAGGCATATGACCTGTAGTTTATTTCATTCTTGGAAGTAATGGTGCCTACGGAGAGTTTGACGACCCACAGCGATCAGAGAAGGTTGAGGGCACCAACCAATGACCACGTTTATATCCACGTGATCACGACCTGACCCTAGCGCAGCACACTAGCAAATCGGAACGTGCCAGGTGCGACGACCCCAGGTTCTCTCATTGGATTTTGTCGTTACTTGCCATTATTAGGATTTTCCGAACCCGCGGCTTGGATTTCAAAGGTTTCGGTGAAATACGAGTTACTCTACGCGTTGGGGCCAAGTGCCTGCAAACGGATTTCTCTCCGACCGAGCACTCGTAAAGTCAATAAATACAATTTAATTACACCTCTTGGGGGTTTGAAGAAAGGGAAAATACATCGACGCTCAGTACTAGGGGCCTCGGTAACATGTACGGTCAGTGATACGACATAAACAATCAGAATTAGCGAGTTCGCAACATGTTTCATCACTCGGGTTCCACCGTTAGTCAGAAACTACACGAAAAAAGTTCCACGAATTGTCATTAGAACTAACCCTCCGCCCGTTTCGGAACGTTTTCCTGCCCGCGCCAACCCAATTTCGTCATCATTGTGGCTGGCGTGATACTTTTCTCAAGCTCTAGGCGCAATTCGAGAGAACTACGTAAAGTATTCCCAAATTAAAAATCGTTGGACGTCGCGGACACAAAATTCCAAAATTGAGACCTCACGCATTTTTGTCGCATAAGCTAGTTGGGCCACAGCAGGCCGCACATCGGGTGGGACATTTTTCAAACATTAACAAACGAAAAAAAAAAAAATTTACAGGAAAGGGAAAATCTATCCGGGACCAGCGCTAAGCCAATGAGGCGTGAAAATTTAACTGTAGTGCGCGTGTGCTAATTTGTTTCGAACATGACAAGACTTGTAGGCTCGTAATTCAACGGAAAAAGTTCCTGGTAAATACATTTGTTGAAAAAGTCAAAAGACAACATGCAGACTTCTAATAGATTCGTTGTATTGAAATTAATACAAAATGAAATGCGGTATTGAGAGTACCTTGAAGTGTTTTTAAACATATTCATTTCCTGAAAATAAACCTCCGTAGCTATCTATATATGCTTTTGTTTTCGAACGACTCTGAAATGCCAACAAGTTTATGGCTTGATTTTTTCTTTGGCTCGTAAATGCAGTAGAGACAAAGCCGCCATTTTTTATCATCGCGAGACGCGCTACACTCTGTAACAAATGTATGTGCTTCGAAACAAAATCGTGTTTTCGTGTTTCTCGACAAACAAATGTCCAACGAATTTTTAATTTGGGCACATTGTGTTTTTTCGCTCGAACTATGCTTGGACCTCAGGAAAAATATCGCGCCAGCCACAATGGTGACGAAATCGGGCTGGCGCGGGCGGGAAAACGTTTCGAAACAGGCGAGGGCTACTTCTACTGACCATTGGTGGAACTTTTTTCGTGTAGTTTCTGAATAACGGTGGAACCCGACTGATGAAACATGTTGCGAACTTGCTAATTCTGATTGTTTATATCGTGTCACTGCTCGTACATGTTATCGAGGCCCCTAATACTGAGCGTTGATGTATTTTCCCTTGAAGAAACGGAATCTACCATGCAGTGCGCTCCAGTTACACGAAAGGTCAAAACCTGGGCAAAAGCGACTCATATCGAGAAAACAATTCTGAATTGTAACTAAGGGTTGTTTGCGAGTCCAGGTCACAGAACCCGTGGTCAGTCTACGCAGGTCTCATGTCACGCTGGAGCCTTTTCAATAACCTACTTGCGAAGTGAAACGTAGCATAACCCACAACTGAAAATAGGAACTACCATAGATTTGGTCTGGTTGAAAAAAATTGGTCGTCTTTGATTGGTAAATCGTTAAATTCTCACAATCAAAAGCAAGATCCAATACAGATTCTCTCACGTCATGCTCCTTGGGTTCTCCCAAGCAGAACCACTTTTGCAGAGAATGTTGACAAGTTCTATTGTATTTTCACAAAATTCTTAGTGAACATGAAACACTTGCGTCCCGAAGCGGGAAGAGGTCTACCCCTGAAACATAAGGTGTAAGGAATGAGTAATTCCTTACTGAGGCTTGCTACAGGGCGTACGACTCGAACAGTCCCGAACCATCGCCGGGGTTCCAGACCTTTCAGTTCGAGCCTCCTGGGCCTTTCCGAACCTCGTTTCGACACATCGAGGCCCTTCGACGCTTTTCCTGAACCTTCTTATCCTACGTCCAGGATCACCTTAGGCTTTCTATATATTGTATTGTCTTTCATTTTATTGATTCACTCGTTCACAGTTTCGCCATTGCCCTCCGCGCTACTTGGCAGTCCCATTCATAACACTTGGTATTCAGAGCCACTTTCCTCACCTACTTGGCTTCCGAGGGCAAAACTTTTTTTGGGGGGGGGGGAGAGCCATTCCCTCGAGGGCGGTTGTGTCCGTCCTGAGATGGCGAATATTTTGAAGAGTGTTTCCGGTATGTTGTTCATTTCGCATATCGTTAAAGGGGCTTCGTTTGCAATTTCAAGATTTTCGGCAAGAAGCAACGACGATTCGGATTGGTGTCCGAATGGAGCGAGGAGCTCGTCACGAGACGACAAGCTCGCGGATATCCCCAAGCAAAATGGATTTCGTCAGGAGCGCGTGTAGCAGACATGGCTGCATGGTGAAGTGTAGCTGATGTCAAGGGCTCGGCGTTTCCGGCAGGCGACACGCAGGTGAAGACGGGACTTCGGATACTATTCAGCAAACGCGGCGTTGGAGTTTTCGGCACGACCAAGGATCGCACGGCAGCACACGTGGGGCTCAGGCACGGAAAATTTTCGAGGAGTTCTGACCTCGAAATTGTTTTGCGTGCCCTGCCCGCCTGGAGATGTAATTCGCCTGCCCTGGAGTTTCGAGCTCGACGAGTCTGGATTCCCGCAGAGGAAGCCATTTTCGTGGTCAGAAATTACGCCCCACGATCCACGGAGGACGACCAGCAACTACCCTCGAGTCGAGTTTAAGTGTCTCTCGACGGGTCACCGCTAAAAGTCAACGACGAAGAGCTGTAGCAGAGAAGGAGAACGACTGGGTAACAGCCGAGAAAAAAATAAGAGTCAACGGCAGACGGATCCTCCGACTAACTTGGCTGGGTCGCCCGATCTTCAACATCTCCACCGGGTGGTAGTACGATACATGCTATCGACCGCTCCCGGACGAATAAAGGAGGATGAGCCAGCGGATCACCCTGTGCTGGTGGATCGATAAAGAAAACATTTCGTCGCTACACGACAGGTGCACGATTTGTGAAAATCGTACGCTCTACAGTGGGAGGCATGAGAATCAGGTTAACGAAAATCACGAAGGAGTTTTGCGCTTACTGAGGCTTGCTACATGGCGTACGACTCGAACAGTCCCGAACCATCGCCAGGGTTCCAGACCTTTCAGTTCGAGCCTCCTGGGCCTTTCCGGACCTCGTTTCGACACATCGAGGCCCTTCGACGCTTTTCCCGAACCTTCCGATCCTACGTCCAGGATCACCCTAGGCTTTCTATATATTGTATTGTCTTTCATTTTATTGATTCACTCGTTCACAGTTTTGCAGAGAATGTTGACAAGTTCTTTTGTATTTTTATAAAATTCTTAGTGAACA